ATATCGAAAGTAGGAAAATGCACGCTGCGGATGATATGCATTTCAATGCTTTTTATTCTAAAATCTTCAATGAATTATATTAAAGTCATTTCATACCACTTAACGTTGATTAACCAGCACGGAGTTCCACGGAGCAAACGCACCGTGTCCCACCGTGTACACACCGTGTCGCACCGTGTGCCAGCTTAGCGCTTAAAACGAAACATCAAAGACACCGACATTTTTCAAAGTCCACGCAAAAGCGTGGACCAAGGGTCCACCGTGGCCGGTGTTTTCCGGAATATACTCGTGAGCTGTACTGTAACTATAGTTTTTTTTTTTTTTGTTAGGGATTACTTTTAGATTGACTCTCGCATTTACTTATTGTATTAATTCTCCTTCAACTCCATATTTTATGCACATGTACCAAGAGGAAGATTTGTTTCTTCAACTCACCCTGCAGTTCCCCTTATATTCACAATTCTTGTTCAATTGCTACTTACAGTTTTTTTAACCTATGGACACAACACAACAATTGTTCTATGCAAGCGTAACATTGTAATGAAATATTATGTAGACAATTGCAATATATGCAGATGTGTGTGATTTTTCTACGACGTCACATTGTTGAAAATATACTAGGAGCAATTTTTTTTTTATTTGTAAAAGGTCTGACAAGATATACATTTTAAAAAATGAATATATTACTCATGACATTTTGTAAATCTTGCTTTACCCCTAATCACATGCGCCAAAAAAGAGCACGCTTCAAAATGTGACTATATCTGTAAAGTTTGCATACCGTATATAAATGGACTCATGTAAAAGGGTCTAATGAGAGTTTAATAATTTCTACTTTTTTTTTCGAGCTGTAAATTGCATCAGTGTCCCATATTAATTTTTGAGAAGAAGGGTTGCATTATTCGATATCCATTAAATAATAAGCAACCTAGTTTTTACCAGATTATACGATAACAACTTGTATTCATCGGGAAAAAAATACTGATTTTTTTTTCTTCATATTACTGGTAAAAGAATTTTTTTATGAGCATTCTTAAAATAACACACACAAAAGATATCTGAATAAATATTTTTATAAAATTTTCACAAAACCATAAATGAACCGAAGGATTTCTAACTCAAAAATTTAGTAAATCACTATAGGTTCTCATTTAATCTACGCATAATAGGTTTTTGTTCGATTTTTAACAGGTTAAAATATATCTTTCATAATCAAAATTCTTCCTTAGTATATATTTTTAACCATGAAAAATTCATCTCGTGATAGCCAGGTTTAATGAAGAAGAGAAAAGGGAAAAAGTTTAATGTGAGTGAAATTACAGGCATTTATCTGAAAGCGGGTGATTTTTGTACGTTAACTCTGTTTAGCTGTTATATGTACTGTTAGCATTTATCCAGCACTATACTGCCCAGCAAAGATGCGGAAGTTTTGTAAAAATAATGTTTTGCGAATCAAACATAACTTTGCCTCAAATACATTCTTGCAGATCTAGAGTAACAAATCCTGGATAAAATAGCCACAGCAATTATTAGGGTCTTTCTTTTCCAACGACTTCCTGCTTTTATTTTCTGACAACCAATTTTGTTCTCCCGGATTCTCAGAAAAATATAGACTCACAAATATCTCGCAAAGTTTGACAAATTTGCTATCATATCTCCGTACCTGTAAACATTTTGTTTAAACATAAAGAAGAAAATGTGTTAAGAAATACAAGATCTTTTTATAGATATGAGGAAAAAGGGACTGATCCCTCAAATTAAGGGATCAGAAGGGCTAAAAGACTTTTTTCGATAAATCTTTAACGATCAATATTTTGTTAAACAATACTGAAGCAGAAATGTTCATCTTAATAATCTCCAACAATATATTATAAAGTTCTGATCATATATTTTGAAATGAGGGGCCATAAGGGACCCGAATGCCAAATCTCTGAACTTTATATCTCAGCAAAGAAATAATATATAAATAAGCGATTGCGAATGAAATAGGGTGAATTCACCAAGCATCGGACACCCTCGCACTTCAACAAGTTCTAGCGATATCGCTACCGACCGAATGTTATCAAAATGGAACTTAACGTGTAGTATGTGGTTAAAGTATAAATTTTTGACACAATCGTGCCCTATTTATCGAGAAAATACCATTAAAAACCGATTTTTTCGAAATAAGTCAGAATTCACCATGGATCGGACAATATTCACCATGCATCGGACATACGATATTAAAACCAGAAAAATAGCATACCTTGATCTTGGTGCTTTAAAATTAGTGATATCGAAACATTTTTATCTTCTATTTAAAAATTAACCTTCTAATTAAATTTGAATGACTATTTCGATCCACAAATGTGAAGAGATATTTAGTTGCATCACATCGCCTTAGAAAAGATTTACAATGCTAGTAATATGGCAACTCGCGCCTTTGTCGCGTGAATTATCATCATCCAGTTTACATGGTTTAAAGAAATAAGTTAAGTCCACTTCTAGGCGACATATACCGATAATTTCTATTTTCACTGAAAATTTAGAGTTTCTATTTTCTATCTCCGTAAAAAACAGCTGTCACTTGGGTTTTATATGAAAATGGAAGTGATTACCCATGCATCGGAAAGTGTCCGATGCATGGTTAATTAGTGTCCGATGTACGGTGAAATAAACATGCTAGTTAAAAACAACTCTAAAAAATATTATACAAACATTTAAGTAAAATTTGTGAAAAATTTCTGTAAAATTATCAATCATTGATAAATTTTACCTAGGTCTGACCCGTTCCGTTGACGTCTATTTAAAAGATAGACAACTCTAAAAATTGCAAAATCGTAAATGATGATGCAAAATATGACGTAATTTCAAGGCCATTCTTGTGGTATTTTTATCACAATACGAAAATAAAAATCGGCATCATTAAAAAGTTTAAATCTTCACCTTTAGGACCGAAACAAGTAAAAACACGGGGAGACTCGGGTTCAGTGAACGTTTATTGCTTCAAGTTGTCCGAAGCAAGGTATGTGTCCGATGCATGGTTAACTCACCCTATGTTGTGAATTATGGTCTAAAATATATGCGACCTTTAAATTTTTGCAAAACGGCCCCATTAAGGACATGAAGGGCTGGCCCCTAAATATTTCTATTAAACATAGCTCGAAAACGAAAAAGAAATTTCTGAATAGTTGTTCAACAAAAAAATCTTTGAAATCAATAGCCCTATCATTTGAAAAGAAGAAAAGGGGGCTGGCCCCTTTAATTAAGGGCTCAGAAGGGGCAAAAAAGACTTTCATTTATAACTCTTTAAGGATCAATATTTTGTTATAAAGTACTGAAGCAGAAATGTTCACCAGTATATTATAAAATTCTCATGATATATCGTAATAAGGGGCCACAAGGAACCAAAATGCCAAATCTTTGAACTTTGTATCTCCAGAAGAGGAAATATTTTGATATACAATATTGAACAAAATATGTTCAGAATAATGCTTCAAATAAAATACAACTTTTCACCTTCTGAAAAACGGCTGGAACCTTAATACTTATGTTCCACATATTTCGAAAACGAAAAGAAATTTCTGATTAGTTGTTGACCAAAAAAAAAAAAAATCTAAACCACAAACCCTTTCATTCGAACAGAAGAAAAAGGGGATGGTCCCTCAAATTAAGGGCTCAGACGGGTCAAAAGACTTCAATCTCTAACTCTTCAACGATAAAAAAAAATGCTGAAAAATTACTGAGCAAAAAATATTCATTTAACCATTTGGATTGATAGAGTGGAAAAAAATATCCTTTATTACGTAATTAGTGGCCGTAAGGTGCATATGCTAAATCTTTGACTCTTTATCGCTCCAAAAGTGGAAATATTTTGATAAGCAATATTGAACAAAAGATGTTCACGATAGTGTAATATACTGTAGATTCCTAAATATACGCGAGGAATTAATTATCGCGTAATTACGCGAGAAGCACCACTCATTATATGTCTCAGTTAATTTGATATGCAAGAGCATGCTCTACGTATGTACAATTTCTAAAACGAGGTAAATTAATGACAAAAAAGTTGATGAAACAAGAATATCAGCAGTCTCGTTTAAAGTCATCATTTCGTAAGTTCTATGGTCGATAGAATGACCTTGTCAGGAAGTACAATTTATCATTGAGTCAAATGCTGACTGATGTTTTTCATACTAATTGTTAGGCCATTATTTACACACTGAAATGTCGACGGATTTTTCCGTTATTTCCAGATCATGATAAGGAGCATACGGCGGGTGTGACCGGTCGGCAGGGGATGCTCACTCCTCAATGGCACCTGATCCCACCTCTGATGTTTTGGAGGTCCGTGTTTGCTCTGCTCCTATTTTGTATTGTTTAATGGACTTTTGAGCTTGAATACTGTTCGTTATCTCCATATATTATCATCTTTTCACAATATCTCAGTCAATATGTCATCGAATAATCGGACAAAAGACTTACTCGTTGCTCGCAACGAGATCTCATCTAGTTATTGTTATTCTTTTGTTGAAAGAATGTGCATGCGTTTTACTCACGTAAAGATGTATTTGAAAAATATGTATGTATGAAAGGAAGTTTTTTTTTTTAAATCTTGTGAATTCTCTAGGAAAAAAATAGAGTTGTACTTAGCCTCCAAAATGCATAAAAATCTTAAGCTACCGTTATGATCTGTATGAAATAAAACATTTTCTCAGTTGAGCATTTATTAGAACAAAAACAAACCCTGAATAGGTACAAGCTTTACGTATGTCCAATGTAATTATCTTTTTTATAATATTTTCTTTTTAGCATCCTTTCCATGATTTTTGGATTTGCTTGTGTTTTTATCTTTATGTATTTGGTGGAGGATATAGTACTACACGTAATAAAATACACTCCAAGAAGCCAACCCCTCAACACCCAACCATCTGTGAAAGAAAAAACGGTCAAGCTTAACAATGAAGCAATGAAAAATCTAAATTCATCGGCCACAAGGAAATTAAAAAGTTTACATATAGAGAGGACTCCTGTGACATTGAATCTAAAAAATACTATCTTATTCACAGAAGGGGAAAAACCAAGATCTTTAACAGTAAGTGCTTGAGTCTTCTAGGTCTTGTAGAGTTTTATAGAAATTTATTTATACACACAACGATACTCATTTATTATTAATGAATAAATATATGGCCTGCTATGGAAGAATTTAAATATTGTTTAGTTTAAGCAAAAAATAAAGAAATAAAAAAAATAAAAATCAATTTAATTGAAAAAAGACTTTAAAAATCACACCTACAAAACCAAAACTATTCAAAGAGGAAGAAATAAATACAGAGGAAAGTACTAACATTAAAAAAAATTCGTGTGTGTCGCAGAAAATTACTTTATTTATTTTCCAGATTTTACACCAATTGGTGGGTCGGACTGGGGATTTCAAAGCACTGTTCATTGCATGGATGTAAATGAAACCACGCTCATTAAGTCGAATGTAGAAGGAGAACAACTTAGTCCTGGATGCTCAAACAAAGACGTTCATCTAGAAACAAAGAATCATTCAAAAACTACTCCTGTCTTTACATTTCCAGATGAATGCCTTAAAAGAGTCATTACGAAATTCTGCACAGACGATCTCCCTGTTCCAAATATTGTTCATTATATATGGATTGGAAAGCAGGAATTTGAGTTCATTTATTTTGTTAGTCTCTATAGCACACACAAAAACCAAAAGCCCTGTCTATTTTTTCTTTATTATGATGTTTTACCTTCTGGAAAATGGTGGGGTATACTTTCAAAAATTGTAAGAAATATTGTATATGTAAAAATAACACCACCCACCGAAATTTCAGGAAAGAAGATCAAATGGGTGCAGCACAAGTCCGATATCTTGAGACTCAGAATATTAAAAGGTACATTGTACCAAGTCCGATTAAATTTTTTTTTCTTATTTTACAGAAAACACTCAAATTTATTAGATTCTTATAGCAAAAAATTCGAAAGATTTTTTTTTTTTAATTTTGTATTGAAATTCTTTTTTGTAGAATATGGTGGCATATACTTTGACACGGACCAATATGTTCTTAGATCGCTAAATGAATTCAGAAATAAGGATTGTACCTTAGGAATGGCGCAAGATGATGCAATGGCAAGTGCGTTGTTAATTGCAGCTAAGAATGCCACATTTATTAATCTATGGATTGATAGTTACAACTCCTACGATCCAAACCACTGGGGCGGAAACTCAGTAGTTATGGCAAGAAAACTCTCCTTAAGATATCCACAATATGTTCGTGTGTTTGAGCATCACTGCCTTTTCTCTATACATGATAAGTTTTTTTATGACCATAACCAGAACTACAAATGGTCCCACAGTTATGGGCTTCATCTTTATGGTAAAAGAGAGCGGTGGAAGGAAGTCCAAAAATGGAATTTATTAACTATAAGAAAATTAAACAATACGATTGGTGCAGTTTTCAGATATATCCTCTTTGGAAATAAAGAATTGTGTAATTAGTCTATCGAAACAAAAATCAGTTTCCGTTTGATTAGCTAACTTCTTATGCTCAAGACATATTATCAAAATATTATATAAAGCACAAATCAGGAGAGTTATCTTATTATTCGAAGTAGAAATAGGTTTATAATAACAACACGACATAAACAATCTTTGAGAGGGACGAACGTTATCAAGTATTCCTTGAAATCTTAAAATCTTTATACCACCTACTACAAGAATATTAAAGATGACAATGGCAAACAATTCTCAACTGTTATATATAATATCTAAATAAAGAACTTTTCCTCAACATTTCAATTTTATTCCTTTCAATTAGCTTCATATGATAATTGTAAATCTTTTTTTTTCATTTTTGCGATCACCTTATCTATCACTTTTGACTTTCAGTAAAAGTTATTACAGTGTAGCAATTTCTTATTTTTGTATAAGATTGAATGATTATTTATTACTTACTTCCATTTATCTGACTTTATCATTGCCATACTTTCATTTTAAAATTCTTACGTTATGTAAGAATTATAAACAAAACAAGCATTTTGAATCGATGTTAATGAAATATTTTCCTTACTGCTTGGCATTGCAGCATGTTTTGATCTCGGTTTTACATATCTTCAAAGAAGCGTATTGAATTAAAATGTTATTTTTTTAAATACATGTAAATAATCTTTCAGATGACCAGTGACTGGGTACTGTAAAAGCAGAGATATTCGTTGGGACTAAGTTTCGTTTATTTCGTTGTTAACAATTATCAACGAAATTAAATCCCACACAAATGCTTATATGACTATATATAGAATAGGATTTCTTTCCAAACAATGAAGTTTAATGCCCACGAAACCGTCGTAGATGACAAAACAACGAAACTTTATCACCACGAAAATTTGTGTTTCTACAGCATATAATTTTACGAGTTCCTTTTTTTCAAAAAAATCAGTTGTCTACTTTGTCAAAAGCCTGATCTTTAATCTATCGTTGGAAATGGTCATAAATGGTCATATGAAGTTTTTATGTGTTATTTTGAATTTTTTTTTCCAGTCACCTCTGACCCCTTGAATGATCTGTAATGAAACTCTTTTTTATTTTCAATGCTGGTGTTATTTTTGCCTGACTTCATCAGAACATCAAGCTCAGTCGCAGTGGCCGAGCTATGTCAAGAACACGATGTAGTTACGACATCGACAGATTATTTTTTATAGTTTGCTAAAATATCCCTTCAAATGTGTTTGTACGAATGGAATACCTTCTAGTGTTACGTAAGTTTCTTAATTGTCAATATCCACGACATCGTGTCGATATCGAATCATGATTGTTCAATGGATTTTGATAACCACTCATAACATTGTGTTTTTAACTTGTGAGTAACTTGAATACTATGACTTTTTGAAGTATTCCCTGTGGTTTACTCTACCCTAGCTTAATACTGTCCTTCCTATTGTCTGTATCGAATCATGTTTGTTAAAAAACATACTGTTTTTACTAACTTTCAACCTAACACAAAACCTTACTCTAAACCCTACCCAATACGATAACAAGCTCCTAGCCCATTGTTTGTTATCCTTATTTATTCATATATTCAGGCTAATGATGAATCAATATCGGCATCTCTTGTGGCCATGTATAATTATGTTATACTTAAACTTGAGAATAAATTGTACACATAAGGATGGTTATCGATACGATATCGTCATGGCATTGTCGATATCGACGACATCGACGTAGTACATCAACATAATACTACATCTCATATATGGCATCCAGTATTTCCATTTCATAGTACGAATCAGGGTCGGTATCGATACGATATCGACACAGTAATGTCGATATCAACATTGCATTTGTTCTTGGACATGTATTGCCAGAAGTCAATACTCAGTACTAAGTGTGCAGTATAATAACAAAGGAACATCAATTTCATTTGTTTAAAAAAAAAAATTATGAGGTTCATCACTGCTCGTTATCTTCACATTTTTCATTTTCACATTCAAAGATTGGCTAATATAAGAATATCAAATATTTTTGGCACATAAATTTAATTTGAAAAACCATTGATTAAAAAAAAACCTTCCCTTAATTACAATTATGTTGCTTTATTTTTTCATACTGAATGTACTAGTTTGATTACTGCATAATCAAAAACATGCACATGAAACACACTCACAAAAAAAAATGATTTTTTTAATGTTTTTTAATGTTTCAAATCAAAAACATGAAAGACCATTAAAAAATGCTATCTTTTTATCCCTACCTGATTTTTTTAAACCGTTAATTTTTTTAAGGCGTTCCGTCTCAAGCGACAAAAGTCATTGTTTTCGTTGTTTCTGTTCGGTTTTGGTTTCTTTTTCCCTATTATTATAATTCCAACCGATTTCTGTTCGCAATTTCCGAAAAATGACTCAGAAACTCCTCACAAAATTTGACACATTTACTACCATATCTTTATGCCTGTAAATATTTTGTTAAAAAATATATAACAAATGTTGTGCAAAATGATAAGAGCATCAAGAAAAAGAGACTGATCCCTAAAATTAGGGGCTCAAAGGGGGTTTTGATCTGTTACTCTTTAACGATCAATATTTTATTATAAATTACTGAAGCAAAAGCATTTACCTTAAAATTTTGATCATGTTTTACGTAAATAAGGGCCACAAGGAACGAAAATGCTAAATTTTACACGAAAAAAAAAGAAGAAATATTTTTTTTAGCCATATTGAACAAAAGGTGTTTAGAATAATGTTCTTAACAGTATGTAACGCTTTAATTTTTCAAAACTTCAAGACTTGAAGCACTGACTCCTAATTATTTACAAGATAAAAACTTACGACTTTTCAACTTTATGTACAACTATTCCCCACGATAAATTAAAGTCCAGACATTTCTGACATCGTTGACAGCTGCTTTTTCAATAAAAATGGAACTCGTAAATTTACTTACCTTGTCATTGGTCATTTGCAATATTACTTTGTTTAAAAAAAAACAAAAACAATCTGACTGTACACACAAGCACTCTGAAGTTGACATTAAAAAACATGCTCGAGCTTCTGATTGACAATATCTATGTGGTTTTTGGGGACCAGGCTTTCTAACAATCTATTGGAATTCCCCGTTATTAGTAGACCTATTTTTGTATTCATATGAAGCAGAATTTATTCAAAATCTTTCACGTGAAAAGAAGAAAACACTTGCTGTGGCCTTTAACTCGACATTTTTAGATATATCGACGACGTATTGCAATTAACAATGGTTATTTCCATTATTATGTCGACACGATATATCCCGGGGAGCTTGAGATAAAAGATACCACAGAGTTTGACACATCTGGGTACATACCTCTAATTATTTTTAGAATCGGTAGGAGAAGAAAGTAGTGAAGAAAAAATTACAAGTTCTTTAATTTGCAGACCTGAGTAAAAAAAACTGTGATAAGGTATTAAACTGAGCCTCATACTTGTTGAAAAGGAGTATGTTCCCTTGCAAAAAAGCTTGGCAGATGTAATTTATCAAGAAGATCAGCAGAATTATTTTATGTATTATAACACCAGTGAGAAGTCTTGAAATCCCCTACTTTCACTTTCATTTTCAGAGGTTAACGCAGACAGACGCATTTTGTCGGAAAACGAATCTGACATGCCACTCGAGATTTTAACCAAGGAAAGACAACTTGATGTGCTTTGATTTGAGGGGTCACTCAATGCTGAACGAAAATTAGGGGCATTGCTTTGTGAAGAAATGTTAACATTGCCGCCTATGGGAAAACAATTAGTGGGCTGTACCCAATATGTGAAGCCTATTGGTAAGTGAAAATTCTCATAGATCTTTACTTTGTTTTGAACTCGTTGTTTACTATCATTTCCAATTGTTTAAATTTATGAAAGAAGCAAATTTTAATTTTTTATACATATTTTGAAACAAATCGATTTGTTAATACCCCCCCCCCCCTTTTTAGGAACAGACAGCTTATGCGCATATCTCCCATTGTGTACACATGTAGCATGTAAATTAAATGTATCGATTCTATACAATTTATTAATTCCGAGCCATTAATAGATATTTAGAAAAGGAACAATTATTTTAGAAGTACATCCACCACTATTGTTTATCATCAATACACAAAAGTTCAGAAATGAGGTCGGAATCAGTATTCAGTGAAGTTCAAGGTCAAAGTGAAAGTAGAATGGCAGTAAGTTATCAACACTGCTTAGTGCAGCTATGCTACCTAATGCAGAGTCTTGCAGTATGTAGGTGATATGCATTTGTCATTTTATGAAAGAGGTAAAGAAAAAAAGAGGTTTCCATGCTTTATTACAATATTTGTAAATGAAAACTTTTATTCTCATGGAATAGAATTACATGAACGAGGACATACATGTGCATTTTTTCAAAGAAGTCGGTCAGGCTACAGTTGTGTAGAAGTTAAGCAGTGTGTGTGTGAACATGCACACTAACATTTTTTTTTATATTTTATTAACTGGATTACATGTATTTGTCTAATGTATAATCATTGTCAGTTACATGCTTTTTACCTGTATTATTAATTTACATGTAATTTAACAATGCTGAGACTAATCAGTGCAAATTCATAATTTTCAATTGATATCAACCAATTAAGGGCATCAGGGAATGTTGTAGGATTGTGTGTGTTTGATGTCTGTCTGTGAATGTTTTAGGTGCTTTTTGATGCTGATTAATTATTGCACCATTTTTTAAATTGATTTTTTTTTTAGGTTCATGGTGATACAGGTTAACTTTGAGGTTCATGCAGATGGTGTTTAAAACTATCAGTCAGGAAAAACAAACTCATTTGAACACAGCTTGAGTCTTCATATATAAAATGATGGCAGTACTTTTAATATGTAAGTTGAATTTTCTAAAGCTTCTTTGTGTGTATGTGTGTGTGTGTGGGAGGAGGATGGGGGGGGGGGTGTTAAAGCTTAGTAAATGTAGATTTTAAATGAATATTTGAGCAATGAAAGTGAACATCAAACTAATCTGTACATGCA